GGCCCGAGATGCCTATTAAACTTAGAGGGGTGTGTGTGTGTCTGGGGGTGGGGAAAGTCCTTTGTGAATCCAGATTAGAATTGGTCTGATAAATGCTGAGCTGGGTGTGTGTGAACATGGGTTGATTAGCATTTGGAGCACAGATTCCCCATCATGCAGTGCTCCTCTGCTTCTCTGATCCCAGAATTCACTGCAGTCTCTGCTTCAGGCTTTCTGTTCTCCATCTCTCATGTAAATGAATGGTCATCTGGTTCCATCTCGGATGCAAATGAGACCTAGGGCAGTTGTTTCACTCTTGTCACCCTTATCTGGAGGGTCTTAGGTGTGTCTCTCACTGCATCTTAATCAGTTTCCTTTATGTAGAGGAAGGGAGGGGGGGTGAGTCCTTTGCGAGTCAGACAGGCTGTGTCCTGTGCCAGGGTTGCCCAAGAACACACAGCTGAGACGTAACAGGCATCTCAGTCCTTTATTGGTTCTCACTTTTACTAGGAAAGCTGGTGTATAAGGGTTGAGTCCCCATCTTCCTCTTTACAAAAATCTTGCTGCAGTAAGTGAGGAGGGTCATACAAAAAGAGTAGACAAGAGGGGCTGTTACCAGACAAGTGCCTCCTCATCTGATAGAACTATTTGATTTAGGATTTCAAGGTAATAATCCTTTCCCTTCTTTCCTGCAGGTGGCAAGTGAAACGTTCAGGAGAATGTGCCTACATTGAATCTGAAGAAATCTCGTTCTCTGGGTGTTCTTTAACCAGGAACTGGGTCTGTAAAAAGACCCATAACTTGGGACCACCTGGCCTTTCATACATAACTTCATGACCAGCTGGCAACTGCAGCAGCTGACAGTGTTGGGGACCTACTCCTTGTCTTTTCCTGTTTCCCTGGCTCATGCCCATTCCCTTTTTCACTGCCAGCCTGTACCTCCTGTGTTCTAAGTGGGTACTGCCGATCTTTGAAGGAAACCCCTGTTGCTTCTTCATGTTTACTGGGGAGACTCTTCTGGAGTAATTCAGGTTAGTTGCCAGGCACTTGGTGCAATCAGCCTATATCCTTTGCTCTTATTTTAATCAAGTTCTCTCCTACTCACCCCTTTTGGAGCATCCTGGGCAGCTCTTCTCTTCCCCTCCTTTCTCGTGATCCCACACACTTGGCAAGTGTTATCATCAGCTCCATTTAGCTACGCCATGTGTGTCAGTGTAAATGTTTGTCAGACATCCTGCATTTGTGGAGGAGGTTGGGCTGGTGGGAGATTTTTGAGGCACCTTCCACTTCTGTGGTTCTATAAGATGTTCTTATCTAGTTATTCTAGTGTTTCCTGTCTAATCCTCTCTTCCTCTCAATAACTGAAACCTTTGCACCTTTTCTTTCTGATTTCAGTACAACTTGCACTACTAATGTAGGATTCCTTATTTAACACTATCTGGTTTGGAAAGAGGCATGGAACATCACTACTATGAAGTTTTATGGGATATGTCTTCATATGCATCTCCAAGTTCTTCTGGAAATTGAATTAGCCATTTTGTTTGTCATTAGCAATGTCTAATTAGCTGCTTACTAACACTACTAGATCCCTTTCAATACACTGCATTCTGGGTTTCCTTTCCACTAAATACACAATAACAAATATAATCTGGAGAAAGAGTCAGAAACAAAAACTTCACTAGGACTTGTGAGACAAGTTGTTTCCAGGCAGAAGTGAAATGCATTGGACCGTCAGTAATATCTCTCTTGCCTCTAGAAAGGTAGGAAAGAGAGACAAAACAATTAATGGTAAGAATTGCCCCTCCCAAGGCTGGTGATGTGCTCTCGAGGCCTTTTCTGCTGCCTCCAGCTGTGGGTTTCCATGTGAGTAGTGTTTCCACTGAAATGGTCAGTTTTTCCTGTACCTGCTTTGCCCTGTATTCTGATACCAACCCTTATGTAGCATTCACGCTTTCCTCATGGTTTGGTCAAAGTTGAGCACCTTCCTCCACGGCTCTCCCAGTGGACCAGATGATGCTCAGCAGAGCACAGGCATGAGCTGAGGACTGCTGAAGAAGTGTGTGCTGGAGACATAAAGCCCTTTCTCCCTGGAGACAGTGGACCTCATTGGGGCATGGCATGACTGCCTGTGGAGCTGTCCCTGGGAAGCACCGCTTGCCACTATCTTCTTGGTGTGTCCTAAAGATAAGTGGAACCTGTGGGACAAGTTGAACAAGTCAGTGAAATGTACAGGAAGAGAGAGACTTGTGGGTCCACAAAGAGCAAATTATGGAACTCATTTCTATTTTCAGATATTTCACTAATGGGAAAATTTGATTGGTGCTGCCTTAATACAAAACTTATGCTTCAGTATCATTGTACCTTATAAATGCAGCGTGCCTTTAATACATTTAGATGCATTATTTTTAGAGAGGTAAGAAAATCTTCCTACAAAACAGTGACCTTTCAGCTGTGTTCAGAGTGGAAAGGGAGAGGTCTGTGAGCCATGAAGCAAGAACTTCACCATGATCAGGTGACTGGTGTGCTCTAGTGACTGCTTCCAGCTGATCATACTGCCCTCATTGCTTCCTTGTGTTTCCTTTCCTGTTCTCATTCCACTACCCACTCCCCACTCCCTTGCTTTCCCTGGCTGAGTTAATAACCTCTTTGAGATGAAGACTGTGCTTTTGTTACATATGAGTGCTATGGGGCTCAGGTCACTGGCTGCTGTTGCCGTGCAACCCTCTTTCAACCTGGACTGAAGAATGGGAGTTGGGCAGTTCCTGAAACTGCATAACTTGGTACCATAATGCTTGGTTCCAGGACATCTAGACGATACCTTTCCTTTGGTGTTTCAGGATCCCATGTGGGGGAAACTGTCCAAAGGTGTGTCCTGAAAGGTGTATCCCTGAGTGACATGAGGCAGGACCAGTTCCCATTTAGGCCTGCAGCTGGCAGAGGAAGCAGCCTCAGGGTGCTCTTTCAAGACAAGAACCCATTCATTGCTTTGCTGAGTTATCTTTCAAAAATCAGGCACAAGCAGGGAATGCTGTAGTCAAGCACAGTATATGGGACAGTGACTGCTCAAAATGTGCTAGTGTGGTCCAGTCACTGTACAGGGAAAGGAACTGTCCCAAGCCAACTTGTGAGAACTGGGAAAGCTCAGCTCCAGCTCTGTGATGCACAACAAAGCAAATTCCCAGAGACAGATTTTCAGGGCTAGCTCAGGTTTGCACTCCTATTTATCTGCTATTAGTTATGTCCACTCTATGTATAGTGTTGACAGTGTAGTAGCTTCCTGTTCCAAGACAAGGACTAGTAACACAATGATGGATGAGTGGACACTGCCTAAAGACAGGGAGCACCATAATGGAGTTGGGGTGAGCTTCACCCTCCCCTGTCTCCCCCTGCCCCCCTTCCCCTTCCCACTCCTCTGCATTGGCTCTGGACTTGTCTCTGGAAATGCAAAGGGCAGAGCAGCAGCAGTGGAGCATGGTAGCAGTGGAGCATGGTAGAGGAGCAGTGGCCATAGGCTGGCTGCTGCAGGGGGGCGATGTCACTTCCCTGTTGCTGGGGAAAATCAATGCTTTTTTGGCCACTCAGCATATGATGGCAAAAAAAGGTGACATCCTAACCTGCAGCAGCAAACCTCTGGCTTCTGCCCCTGCACCATACATTGCCACCACCCAGGGTGCAAAACTGGCCAGGTAATCCTGTGGCAGGGACAGTATCTGTTGCATATCTAATATGGGGGAGACTGCAGGGTTGGACTGGGTAAGGCGGTGGAAGCGAGCACACACTCCTTCCACATCCGCTTACTGATCTGGCTTTTTAGAAGGCATGTAGCACAGTTCCGTGTGGCCATGGCAGCAGTGGCAGTGCAGTAAATATAGTGCTTACTAGCCAATTGCTCATCAAGAATGACGGGGAGAGGGAGCTGGGATGGAGTGCCGCCACCTAATACCCCATGCTGCCACTGTTCTGCCTCTTGCCCCATGCTGCCACTGGCCTCGGTTCCCCCACCCTCTGTCTGGTCCTCGACGTGGCTTCGGAATCATAGTGGCGCTCCCCCACTTTTGGAGTACTTTGATTGGCTGTTTCTGTCAGCCAACCAGAACACAAATAAAGTGTTACAGATAGACAGACAGACAGATGTAGGCTTTTATAATATTAAAATAATATACATGATATAACAATTTTTTACTGACCACTGCTACATTTTTTTAAAGTTTTGGAGGGATCTAAAAGTTTTAAAGATCTAAAGTTTTCATCTAAAAAGGATGAAAATTACAACTTTAGACAAATGCCCATCTTAGAGGATTAATTTATTTTCAGTTACCCTGAAAGATTTTCTGACAGAGATCACTACAGAGAATATATCTTGATCCATTCCTTGTGTATGTGTGGACCAGTATTTTGAAAGTAATGGAATTTTTAGTTCTGTAACACCCATAATCCCATGAACCCATGAAAAGAAACCCAAGACAAACCAAACAACACTGAAAAGAGTTTGTTCAAGTGGCCCTGAAATGTTAATCATGTCAGTGAAACTAAAGAAAAGGTTAACATTAGGTTTGATAGAGGCGAAAAAATTCATTTGATTGAAAATGAAACAATTTAATATTTTTAAAACCTTTTTATTTTTAATGTCAAATTTTAAATGAAAGCATTATGTTGAAATGAACTGTTGAAACAGGCTTTTTCAACATTTTTGTCAATAGAAACTATTTGCCAAACTTGACCTGGATTCTCAAAGAAGTCCAGTCTTCTGAAAACTTCATTTTTTGATAAATTAATAATTTGCCAAAAAGAACAAATGTCTCTCTAGCATATGGCTGTGTGTTATATGATCCAGCAGCCTTAATCAGTAAAATGCTTTGTTATCTCATCTGAAAAGTCCTGTGTAAAATTGGAATATGAAAAAAGCTCTTAACTTTAAGGGTTTTTTTAATGAAACTTCTGTTTTTGCTTATATTTAAAGTGGATTCCAAAACACATTGCACTCTTAAAATGCTGCATGTCCTTTACATAATAGTGGCATATTTTGAATAAATAGAATAAATATTTAGAATAAATAGACAGATAAATAAAATATAAATAAATAAATACATATTTAGAATAAATATTTGGAATAAATGTTTTCCTAATTTCTACCTATTTACATTCTAGTTGGCATCCTGCCACAATTTTAGCTTCTCTTATTCCTTGGAGTCTCATAACAGCAGACTCCCTATGCCTGAAGAAGGGTGATTGTGCTAGAAAGCTTGCTAAAACTTTTTTCCAACTACTCACTTGGTCTAATAAAAGATATCACACCTACCCAAAGAACCTTGCCTGCTTACATTTAGAATAATGCATTTGTAGGAGACAGTCAAATTTCCTACTGCTCAATTGCATGGCATTCTCTAAGCCTTTATAACCCTGGCATTTTACACCTGGATTTTTGCAACTGTAGTGAAATACATGCTGCCAGTAAGACTTATTGACTCTTTTAGTGTCACATGGAGAGCAGATACATTGACAGTTGTTTTTAACCATCAACAGTGCATGTTTTGTCAGTCCTTCTCACTCTTAAGGGAATTTTCTTAAACTCTCTCAAAATTTCACTCATGGAAAAAAAAATATTTTGGAAATGTTCAAGTGTTAAAGGGGAGTACTGTGAAGAGTTGGAAGCACAGGTGGATTATAAAGGAAGGTATTTTAAAGTTACTACAGTATAAGTACCCAAAGAGCAAAGTGCTATGCAACTAGGGCCCTTGACTCCTCTTGGTGAGCAGGGCAAAGGAGTAATCCCATTAACAGCAGCTGGGTGCTTTGTCGGTTGTGAACAGCTCACAAATACAAGTGAGGGGGTTAGAGAATGCGCCCTTCCACAGTGCGCATCACCATCACATCTGAAGTGAGGATCTTCAAACCTTGCTTGTCCTGTTGGTAAAATAAAGCATAACTGTAAGGAAATGAGACCAGTAGGCTCTTTTAAATATAATTTTGTATTTAAAACAGCAGGATCTTGGAACTTGGGATATTTTTGAGGAGATAAAAACTGTCTAATTCATGTAGACAGTCACATTTTCAATTGTTCAGCATCCTGGAACATTGTATTTTGCAGCTCCCTGGCACAAAGACCTCCAGTCCTGGATGCATTCTTGCCAGATTTCAAAGACTTGCTGATAGTCAAATGGAGCCAAGGAAGACAAATATATCAGCCTGATTTTTGGTTGGTAAGCACCATGGGAAGAATATTCACGTGCGCATTTCCTGTGATCAACTGCACAACACTTGGAGCTGTGTTCGGTAGATAAGAAGTTGTGTGCTAGGAACTCACGTGTCATCGTGTCTGTTGGGCACTCTTCAGCAAAGTCAGACTTAAAGGCCTTCAAGGCCCTCAGAAAACATGTCATTAGGCTGCTGGCCCAGCCTGAAGCCATTGCTGCTGTACGTTCCTTTCTCTTCTTTCCTATGCAAGTGAGACTGAAGTTAGCAGAAGCATGCCTATATAAGCGTACAGCCTTACCTTTATTTCACTATGCAGAGGTGCCTTTCCTGAGGACAGTCAGGTATCCATAACTCCTGCCTCACCCTCTCCAAAACTCATGGCTTCATCAGCTTTCCACATGAGCACCAGTGGAAAGGTCCTGAGTTTCTCCTCATCAGCCTCCCTCAGAGACTCTGGAAGGTGTTCCAAATCTAAAGCATGTAACAGAGACATTAGTAGAGCTGCTTCTTGATAATCCAGCAGAGGACAGACTGCAGCCAGAAGGAACAGTACCATGCAGACTCTGGGGACAGTGAGAGTAAGTTAGAAACCCTTTCAAAGCCTATGTCTTGTGAGTGAAACTGCCTTCACCTCATGCAAAAGTACTGCACAGTATCTTGTTTTCTCCATGCAGTGTCAGTGATGTGCTAGTTTCTGGATAATTCAGGGAACACAAATACAAAGAACTATGCTAAAGAAGAGAGTAGCTAGTCATGTTAGTCTGAAGTCAAGTAAAGGGCAAGACAGAGTTGTACCTTATAGACTAACTACAGCTTTTTTGAGCGCTAGCTCACTTTGTAGGATGCTATGAAAGGACATGCAAAGAGCAGGTTTTCAAATATGAAGGAGTGATTTAAATACAAAAAAGGGAAGATGGAGGAAGTGGGGGAGGGGGAAAGGAAAGAAGACAGTGCTGATAAAGGCAAAGACGCCAGAACTTTCACAGGACTAATATGAACTTTCACAGAACTGTCATAACCAAATGAGTTGAGTGCCCCTGTCACAATAGAACTGCCCTGAATAACCGCAGTTACTTTCAAATTTGGTCACGTTCCGCCTCATTAGTTATTCCTACCTAGCGGTCTGTTATTGGCCACTCCGGACATATAAAAGTTCATGCAGCTTCCGCCCAAGTCAGAGACCTCTGAGCACACGGCAGAGTAACTACGGAGAACGCTGTAGCGCGATTGAGGAAACTTGGCGGACCGATCACCCACCAATATCTCCCCGTCACCGGGTCCTTGACGTACCCCCCTCGTTTCCTGCAGGTTCCTTTTCATTCGTAAACTCGTTAACTTGTAACTCGTTTTGCTGTCCGTGACAACGCAAGCAAGCTACCTCGAGGCCTGCGCTGCCATTCCACGCGGTGTAAGTAAAAGCAATTTTTTAAAACCAATAAGCTGTCTCGCCTCTCCATCGCCAGCCCGCCTGACGTCCAATTAAATTAGTGATCCTCTGGTCGGCTCCGGCCGCCCGAGACAAGAACTAATATAAAGAACAGAGGTGCATAATCACAATACATAGCACATGCATTTGGTGGATTAGGGTGGAGCTCTTGACAGCCAAAGGGGTGTATAACCACTGTAGCCTTTCTGGATCTGCTTCTGTGGCAGGATGGCTCAAGCCTGGAGATTCAGTTCCTTTTCCTTAGAGTTAGTGCCATGTTGCCAAGCACAAAAGGCCTTGCACTTGTGATTGATCAACTCTTGGATCTCCTGGTCATTCTCATCCAACCAGTCTTGATTTTTCCTGGTAGAGAATCCAAGTGTCTCTTTACAGGCACTGATGATGGTGGCATTGAGGGCACCCAGCATACTGCTGACATTCTCCCATTCTTGTTGATTGGAATTCACCAGTTTTTTGTTGAGGCACTCATGGAAGACATCTTGCTTGGTTGGGTCCTTGAGTCCTTCAATGTTGATCTTCCAGCAGCATTGCTTCTGCTGCAGCTGCCTTTGGGAGCCAGTTTGAGTGAAATAACCGAGTGGATGAGTGGATTATGTTCAGTCCAGCAGTCATCAGCTCCTAGCATAGCTCGGGTGATGTAGACATCTTTGCAATCCAAGGCATGAACAATGACATAGTCTATTTGTTGCCAATGCTTAGACTATGGGTGCTGCCAGGATATCTTGTGCCTGTTTTCCTGGCAGAACAAGGTGTTGGTGATGGTGAGTCCATGTTCCGTGCATTTAGTCAAGAGGAGGATGCCAGTGGAGTTGACTTTTCCTTTTCCTTCCTTGTTGATGGTTCCATTCCAGAGGTTTCTTGCCATTGGGACAGCTTCCTTCATGAAGCTCCAGGGCTCCATAGGACTTGGTGCTGCCATGTAGCAGAGACCTAGCTGGTCATCTGAGAAATCCATCTTCTCTCCTAGGCCCTGCACTCAGCCTCTGGTCCTTGCTCTCTGGGCTTTGCCCTGACACTTTTATATGGGAGGGTTCCAGGGTGATGTTAACTGGGGACAGTTCACAGGTATCTTCTCCACTTGGACTGGGAAGGACAGCTCAAGGGGAGACCCTGGGCTGGGGTTTGGGTGATGGGGAGGCCAGAGTGTGAAGTTAGTATGGAGACAGATCAATTCCTTCATGACAACAGCCACAACACCAGGCCACTCTGCAGCCCTTCACTGATCTCACTGCTAATTGCAGCTCCTCCCATGTCCTCAGTGATACTGCCTGAGAAAGAAAAAGAAACTGCACAAGGCTGGGGGCCCCAAGCAAGGGCCCCCGTTGAGGAATCTGTGACAGGGGTCCTTTTTAACGAAAAGCTGTTTTGTTAGGGAAATACCAAACCAGAGCTTCAGGTGGTGACACTGCAGCTGCTTCATAGGCCTGTGTGAGATGGGAATTATTAGATTTGGATCTGGATTCAGCAGATTTGGATGCCAGTGATTTGATTCAGATCTCCAAATTGTTTTTCCGCTTCGATTCAGAGCCGATTCGGAGATTCAGCCATGGAGTATAACGGGGAATCAATGAAATATCTATAACTTTGTTGTTTGTTGTCTGATTCAGATGAAACCTGCAGGGCTGGTAGCCTCTGCAGAGAGCATAAAGCCTACCAGGTATCAAGGTGATAGGTGCCGGGCTTTCTGGGAAACTGAACCTCAAAGTCCAGAAAGCAAAACTCATGCCACATGTGTGTTATACCACAGGGGGCTGAAAACTGCAGGGGTGGTAGCCCCTGCCAAGGCCACACAGCCTGCCAAGTTTCAAGGAGATAGATGCAGGGGCTTGGGGTAAACTGCACCCCAAGCTGCAGACAAGTAAAACTCGTGACATAGGTGACAGTGTGTGTGTTAAGGCACAGCAGGGTGAAAGCTGCAGGCCTGCTAGCCCCTGCTGAGGCCATGAAGCCTACCAGCTGTCAAGGAGATAGGTGCGGGGGGAGTCTGGCTTTGGTGGGTGACATTGTGTGTGTGCTAAGGTGAGCCCTTACCGGCACTGGGCCTCTACACAACATGGCAGTGTGCCCCAGTGAGGCTTACTCCTCCCCTACAGCCTCAGTCTGGTCCACCGCTTTACATGACAACCGATAAAATAACTTAGTGACTGACTTTGCACTAGCAGTAGCACCAGCAGCATCTCAGGTAGCCAAACTGTCAGAGAGCCCTTCTTTCCTCTCAAGTAGGACCTGCTTCTTCTCTAGCATGTCTGTTAAGGTGTGCTCTCACTGTGTGACTGTGTATGTGTGTGTGTACTTGTGTTCAGGTGTGCCCTCACTGGAGCTGGGGCCTCTGCACAACACGGCACTGTGGCCCAGTGAGGTCTCCTCCTC